ATGTCTGACCTGGCACAGTTAATAGTAATACCAGGTAAGGTACCACAGAATTGTGTTTCAAAAATACAGCATACACCCTCTATCGAATTGTCTGCATTCCAATCGGGAGGCTTTTCTCACATTGGACTGTTGTTGAATTTGGTTGGCTGAAATTTATTTATAGTGTTTGAATGCATATAATTCCAATTCTTTCATTACTAAGGTGATAGGCATACTTATATGACAAGATCAGTAATTCGGCAAAATTGCCATATCTCAAGTTATGGAACTTCTTGTGACTTGAGTCTAAGAAAAACGCCAAATACAAATTAAATCAAATGAATGAATAATTAAATTGTTTCCATGATGCTGTGAACGTAACTAACAACGTAGCGTTTGTAAAGATGCTGATCAACATCAGTTTGCAGTGGGTTGTTTTTTCACCCATCACAACCCATTTTTACCCATTGGAGCTTTTCTCTGCAAGGACATAATTCCAACAAACCTCTCTTGTCCTTCACAGAAATTCAATAGCTCCACACTCATCACCAGTGCATTTAGTAGATATATTCGTCTAATAATTGATATTCTACCACCTACTTGTAACTTAGTTACTGCTATGTGTCCCTTTATCATAACTATCCACTTGATAGTCTTTCTAGTTCCTATCACAAACTTTATCTTACAGTCACCACAATGAGTATTACTACATCCGCTGCGTCGACTCTCGCTGACGTCACTACCCTCGCACCAGGTATGAAATGCATGTGTCACATGTGAAGTCACCTATCTGTTTTTCTGTCTGTCTGTCTGTATGTATGTATGTATTCAACTGCACCCAGTCGTTTCTGTCTATTTACGCGCACATGCATCCTCGTCATTAACCAGGTTACCATGTAAACGCATTAACGAATCAATTCAAACATACTTGTCATATAATAACAATCTCACGCTGGTGCACAATTATTTAGTAGTCACAGTTCAACCTTAATATCCCTACAGTAATGGGAACTACTCTGTGACGTCAGTATGCTAAATGACAGCACCACTCAAGAATAAAACTCTCCATATGCAAACCAAAACTTCGGTTCGATTTAGATTTGTTATTTTGAGAATTAAAAACGGAAACAGTTTATAAAACGTGTTTCATCATTCAGTGATGCAGAAACGCCTAATATATACACCGTGACGATCATTTGAAAATGCA